ACTAACACATTTTGCTATAAGTTTGATTGCATCATATAATAATTGCTGTTAATAGTGTTCATCGTCTGTTTGACGTCTTTAATTGATTTCTGTACATTTCTGCCATATGTACATTAACTGACAGTCACCACTGATAAGCTACCACTAAATATTGTAGAAACTTAATTTGCTGTAAAGTTGCTTTGCAATGATTTGTATCGTGAAAAGCGCTGTACAAATAAACTTGAATTGAATAGTATTTATAGCCCTGACTTTCCTCAGTTTCTTTGTCCTGTCTCCATGTAAAGAGGTTGTTTTCTCTTACGTTCCCATGAAGATTAATTAAAGACTCTGTTCGTTTGACTATCTGCCTCCGAGCTCCTTTCCTCTGGCAACCTGTGACAGATGCACTCCCCAACGCAATCACCCCATCAAATGATTCATTATGTACAAATAAAGTCATCTGGTGAAAATTCCTTTATTTTTACATATTGCAGCAATATATTGTAGAAAAGCAAAATAACGCAATGTAATTTTTTTTCAGTATTGTCCAGTCCTAGCCCCTATGACTTACTGGATAAGGATTAAGATTTTAAACATTTTACTCCATTTTTACCACATCAAATAATTTGGAGCTTGACATAACTTCTTTATAAAAATGACAACGTCTTAAGATTAGATTAATTTTCATGACTTTTCCAGATCTTTTAAAATTAGGCTTCCTCATATATTCAGGTTTTTTAAAACCGTGGGAAAAAATACTGTCTTTGTTGGGGTGAATTAAAATACAAAGTATCTTGATTGTGGCATAAGTTTAACTTATTTTTTTTATTCTTGTTTTGTCTTATTTTCAATCAAGTCATCTTGAGTCACCTTGGATGTTTACTAAGGCCCCCTGGTTGAAAACCACTGATCTAGAGAGAGGTTTGGCTAACTAAGCCTAATGTATAATGTAAGTGTAAATATAAAATTTGAGTAAAATATTGTAAATATTGAGTGAAATGTACAGCAATTCGATTATTCATTGACAAACCTGTAAAAAATGTTTTTCCACTATAGAACCTTTGTGGAATGGAACGGTTCTTCTTGGAACTACAGATGTCAATATAGAACTTTTTTTAAGAATGCAGCGTTCAACAACAAATTACATAATATGAAACCATTGAACATGCTGTACTTCTATCCTTCACAGCCTTGCTTTCATTCTTGTCACATAAAATACTGCATCTACCCATACTAAGCTCCACAGCACATTAAAGCAATGATTATAAAATGAAGTACAACTGAGCACAGCGCTGCAATGCTCAGGAGTAGAAAATGAGGACAAATAAGGTCAGAGAGCACTGTTTTTCCCCCCGTTATCTTCTCCACCAAGAGACTAAATTGTAATAAACTAGCAGATTCTTTCTGTTAACATTCATCTGATATAACAAACACATACAGTAGCACCATCAACATGGACAACGACCATCTGGTTGTTTTGTCAGACACCAGTCTACTGCATTTCTGCTTTCTCATTCCCTCCTTCCTCTTCATCTAACTCCAACACTATCCTTTCTTCTCGTTGTTCTTTTCTGTATTTTGTTGCCTCTGCTCTTCTGCATGGCATTTGCTTTACGTAATACACAGTCTGTACTCAGCTTGTTTGTTGACCTCTCTTTTGCCTTTTTTCTTATTCCAGTTCTCTCGTTTACAGTCTTTATCCTCCTCTGAGTTTTTCTATTTTTACACAACAAAAACATCTCACTATTAATCAGTATCTTTGTCGTTTTTCCAAAAACACACATACACAAGATGAATTTACCTAAGAAGAAAATTGCGTGTGGTTTTAAACTTATTTTCAAAGATTGTATTTTGATCATACTGTAAGTGTATTTATTATGTTTAGTTCCAATGTAAGATTTTTATTACTTTTAAGCATTTCCCTTACTATTGTAAAATGGAACCTTGTCATTGCACAAAAGGTTCTGTTCACTAAAAGATTCTATAGAGAACCCAGAATGGTTCTACTATGGCATCACCTCAAAAACACTTTTTTAAACCTTTAATTTAAAGTCAAGATCTATATTCTTAAGTTAAAAAAAAAAAAAGAGTCTGTTCATATATCATTTGCTTGATTTTATACATGACAAAACAAGGTTTTTGAACCTGGCTTTATACAATGTTCAGATTTCTTTTCTGGAAATGTATGCAAATTACTTCATATGTAATTAGATAATGCCTCATTTGCATATTTAAACAACACTGCAATACAAAAAAATGGTTATACTTAATGTAGCCAATACTTAATGTAATCAGTCAGCTGGGGAAATATGTCTATTAGTTAAACATTTTTACCCAATTTGGGTGGTGCTTCTCCTGAACCAAAAAAAAAAAAAAAAAAAAAAATGTTTACAATGCAGTGGAATTTGCAAAAAACAAAGACTGTGACTTTTTTGCAGTGTATTAATGAAAAACAGCAGATTTGACCTGTCAGTAATCACCTCACCTCCTTAAATGTCACCCTTTACCCTGCGTTAATCTAGGCCTGGAGGTCACGATCACACTAGCGAGGATGTGTCTAGTGCCACTGTGCGTGTGTGTCTGTGTGCAGTGGCATTTATATGCATGCGTGTGCTCATAAAATCGCAATTCCTGGGCTTATCGCAGAAAGAGGTTAAGACCATCTCTGACACGGAACAGCATCCAGTGCAGCGGAGCACTGCAGTGATCGGCGAGTATATGAGAGAGAGCGAGAGAGATATGAATACAACATAAACTGCCACACCACCCAATGCTGTATTTTTGGAAACGCTATCCCAGCATGCACCAGCACAGTGATACTGATCCCAGAATCTAGGTGTCCATTTCAATCCCACTGTGCAGAAAAGGGAGGGGTGTGATTCAATCCTAATGATCCAGAAAATATTTGTGAATTACCTTTCCAAATTCAAACTTCAAAAAAGTGAAACTTTAAAGCAAAAATATAGAATTGTTGAGAAAAAGGCAACATGAGTCATATGATTGCCTCTTAGGAGAAGAGATGCTGGGGGAGAAGAGAAATTATTGGTTGTGCTGAGGGTAGGAAGGAGGCTGATTGGTTGTTTTGCCCTATAGCAGCAGAGCCTGCAGGCAAACAGGCCAACAGCAACAATTACACTGACGGATCTGAAAGAACTGGGCCGCTCACTTTCCAACAGGGGATAAGACCAGCCAAAGCCATTGAGAGCACACATATATAAGCACACATCACATATTACTGTGTTTATACACACAAAATCACAAAACACTCATTTATATACAGTGTTTAGATTGATATGTGGATGCATGTGGTTCTCAAACACATAATCCCTTCAGCTTCTTCACAGCTAATGCTTAGACCCAAGCATCTGTTACGTCAGAGCACATGAGCTCCAGATGAGACCCTGATGCATAGTCTCTTGCGTTATCCCGGGTTTAACCGGATGTGCTGCTCTTACATCAGACCGTTGCCATGTTCGGCTACACCAGACGCTCCATTAAAGGGGTCATATGATGCGATTTCAAGTTTTCCTTTCCTTTGAAAAATAATGTGTTTTTTGAACATTAAAGCATGTCAACATATTCTGTTACACCAAATACACAAAATAATGATCTTTAAAAAAGCATCATATGACCCCTTTAACTGTACTCAGGTCCCGCATCGCACCTGACAGGAGCACAGCACACTAAATAAAAGTCACCTACCCCTGGCTGACAGCTTCTTTGTGTTGATGATTTTGGCCGCATACTCTTGGCCGGATGATATCTTCACGCATCGCCTCACGACAGAGAAGGCGCCCCTGAAGAAGAGGGGAAAAAAGAGAAGACGGTGAGGAAAAAAATGGGCACGAGGCCCAGATGCCGAACAGATAGAGCATATGGCATGGAGAGCAGAATCTGTGCCATGATGGAGGCACAGACTGAGCACTTCCAAGGTTAGACAACTGCGATTTTACATGGTTGTTTGTCTGTGTGTGTTTGATGAGCGTGTGTAGGTGTCTTGAAATTGCTTAGCATATTCGCTAACCGCATGCAAACACCACATCTGTATTTGTGTGCTCGCTGGAAATGAGGGGGTTAGTTACACGTCACCTTAAATGTCCCCTTTGGTGTGGTTGTTCTTCACTCATCTATAGAGAATTAATATAAAAGTTTCTAAAGATTATTGGAGTGTGTGTGTGTGTGTGTGTGTATATATATATTATCTGTGTATCCTTTTTATAATTAAAAAACTTAAATTACCATAGAATGTATGGATACAGTTTCTATAGTAAGTTATTATACAGTATATACTTTTACAGTGAAATATTGTTAAAAATGCGTCTAATAAATACATAAATAAATATAAATCACCTTATAATTTATGTGGAAAGGTGGATTCCTTGTGCAAACCACCACTTTTGTTTGTATTAAATTTATAATGTTAACACCTACAAAATCATAGGCAATATTTTATCTATAGAATATTTTATCATTATCGTATATATATATATATATATACACACACACACACACACACTTATGTTTAGTCAATGTGAGGGCATACTGATCCTAATGGAATCTCGAGCAGCGTATTGTTGCTATAGCAACCTCCTCAGATAAAAGCGACTCTGCGAGCGTCTATTTAGCGCACTCTGACTTTCAATCTGACTTTTGACTAGTGAAACGTTGTTTGGAAAGGCTAAAAATACATGCACCCCAAATATTTTGTTTCGCCTTATTTTGGAGGGTACAGTTATTAAATAATTCAGTGTATAATGATAATTTGCATATTTTATTAAATAAAAAATGGTGCAAATAGAAAAATAGGCATCTCTATGTAACAGTGGGGAGCCAAGCTGCGATGCCCAATCTTTATACATGATGCCACCGCGCAGATGGCGCAGAAACGTTTCGACAACATCATATTTTGTACAGACTGTTATTCTAGTTATTTCAATTTAAGGTCACAATGGGCTTAAAAACGAACTCAGTCTGGGACATTTTAGATCTGAACGCATCAGCACGTCCCCAGTCAGTCAAACGCAACGCAAGGAATCCCCAATGCGATAATTAACGGCACGGAAATGTGTGTCTGCACTGTTGTCGCATTGCCATGAGTATTTCTGTCTCCGGGGTAAAAAGCCCGAGCCCCACCCCCCCCTAAAATGTACATTATATACCAGCTTTTTGGATATCTGACATGATGATCACAATGGCCTAGAGCGGTGCCTACATACACTGCAATTTGGGCATCGTTCCGTTCCAAACGCGCCCGTGATTGTCAAAGAACGCCGTCTGGGTTGGCAGCTCGCTGGGCTTTGAGACAGAGACTATGTAATCAAGCGCTCACGGCAAGGTTATTATAAGCGTTCGCTGCAATTATAGCGAAGCTGTCAAACAGAAGACGAGTCGCAGTCGCATCATTTCACTGTGCGTTCAGCAACATCAGACGTGTATATTATATAACAAATGCACAGGAATGCAATGATTCTGCAGTAGAAAATCCAGCACTTACTTTCCGAGCTCCTCAAAAAGCTGATATTCGTCGGTGAATCTGGTGCAAATGGTCAGAGCCATTGTGATGGGGAATCGGCAGCGCGAGAAAGAGGATGGTGCGGGGAAGCGTCAGTCTCCTCTCGTCCCTCCTGTAGACCGAAAGGAGAGCACCTGAATGATTTCTTAGCTGCTGCTTCGGTTCCTGGTCTCTTGAAGTGAGATGCGCCGATCAGTGTCAGATGATCAGATATGTAAACCTGGGGTTCGATCGCCAACGAGAGGAAGAAGCGCTTTCACATCCGACGGTTCCATGGGCTCATCATTACGCGCGTTGACGTTGCCATCTCTCTCTTGGACGTGTTTGCATACTGCACCTCGCCCCCTTGTCCCCTCGCTTTCAAAGCCATGCCCCGCCTTCACAAACATCATACACTTGTAGAGTTTTTATATTCATACTTAATAAATCTTCATTTCAACGATAGCAATAAAGTCAAATGAATAATTGACTGTGTAACCCATATTGTGATATTTCACACTGCTGCAGTGTGCAACATGCACCATCTAAAACTGTTAACATATTTTAATTTAATGCAGTGTTTTTGATCTTATAATAATTTTCCTATTTATACATTAAAAAATCACATTAGTCACAGTAGGCTATAACAAACCGTACAAAAGCTATAGATTAAAATTTGCAAATGTACATTGAGAAACTGAAGTTCTTAGTTTTTAACTATTACTGCTATTAATAAATTAATAAATAAATAATAATGATAATAATAATTTTCTTCAACTTTACAGAAACAACATTGCCAGCAAATGTTGCTGCATTTTGTAATAGCCTACTGTTACGCATTTCAAGATATCTTCTCACGATGTCCTTTTGTTGAAAAGTTGGTAAAGTTGAAGTTGATGTCAACCACCGTCAAGGAAAAAAACATACTGGGCCTACCGTGTAGTACTTTTGGAGAGTGCAGTACAATAGCAATAATGGTTCTGCCAAAAGACAAACAACATTACAAAAGAACTGGTAAAAAAAAAACTGTATTGCAGGTTGAAAAAAGAAAAAAAAATCCAACAATCTAGTGTAGCCTACATTGTTGGATTTTACAGTAGAGTACAGCACAGTACAATGGGGTGTAGGCTACTGTTACTGATAAATTGACAAATCAATCAATCCAAATTATTACTTTATACGGACATGTGTTTAAAGATTCCATAATTCACTCACAAGTATCCATCACTTCAAAGCACATATGCGGCTAGAGCGCAGAACTGTTGTGATATGACGCACATTTTGAACACAAGAGCGCACTGTTGTAGAAGCCATCATTTCACAACCGCCTAACCTTATTTTACAGAGGCTTTACAATATAATAGTTTTTAACTTTTGCCAGCTTATTTTTATTTATTATTTATTTTTTGATAAGAAGTAAACATGTCAGCAACATTTTTCATGTTTCTTCATATTATACCCTAGAATCTTCCGTCTTGCACTGCATTCCTATCTTTGGCATTCAATCTTTGTGTCACTGAAGGCAGGTAGAGTTAGGGATAGTTCACCCTAAAATTCTGTCATCATTTACTCACAGATTACAGCTTTGGAACAACATGGGGGTGAGTAGCTAAATGATGGCTATTTTAACCTTTTTGGCCCAAAACCATGCAAATACAACTACAGGTCACAGTCAAGAAAACGTGTATGTGTATGAACATATACATACATATATATATATATATATGTATGTATGAAGAGTTCAGATGCAAAAGCCTCTAAGTGCCGTCTGAAATATATATATATATATATATATGTGTGTGTGTGTGTGTGTGTGTGATGAAGCAAGTTCTCTCTCATTCTCTCTTTGGTGTTATTATATAAACTTCAATGTCAGTTTCAGCTTGTCTTGTATAATATATTGTTGCCACCTGTTGAGCAATAAAAAATCAAGTAATGTGTTAACAGGAAATACATTACAACTTGAAGAGAGCATAAATTAAACCGTTTTATCACTTGACAGTGGCTGTAAACTGGCCTTTGAGATTATTTTGCATCTCAACAACATTAAACCGAAGTTACTTATACTTGAGTGTTATCTCCGTTCTAAACCATGAAACTGGATGGATAGTTTTTACAAACAGAAAACAGAGAAAATATACAATTAAAATACACATTACAATAAATTTGCTTTAATCTTTTCTTGTAAACTGGAATAAAACAAGACCACAAGCATTTCTTGTGCAGTACCAATACTGGCCTTGATAAAACAAACATTTGGATAAGCTTTTACAGGAACAGTCACTCTTTTTGGTTTGCCTCCAGCTTATTTCTGCTGGCAGCGTGCCTATGGGAATAACCAGCTATAACAACCATTTCAGTGAGGGTGTTCTTTCATCTATAGATGAAATTTGATTTAAAAAAATGAAGTGAAACAGGAAAGAAGCGATCTTTAACTGAACGCATGGATATTGCATCATGGGTATAGACTTTAGTCAGGGTAGATAAAAATGAGGTTGCTATGGATCTGTCTGAATACTTCCACTATAGTAAATGAAAACAGTATGTTAGACGATTAGTATGTCCAAATTCTAATTATTAATAATAACAGTATGTAGCCACATGACCGACTATTTCCAGTTGAGATTCTGAAAAGCTGATGTACATGGATTTCATGAGGCCACAGGAGAGGCGTTGTAAATGACAGTAAAGTGACACAACTGACACTGGTTAGTTACATGGCAGTAACAACATGCCATGACAGATAAGAGTACGTTGAATTTCATTCATACTTATACTGTAAAGAACATACTTTTTGCAAAGTAAGTTTCAAATAAAATGTAGTACCTACTAGTCAGTATTGGAAAATGTCAAGCCAAGTGGCATTTATTTGAACAAAATAAAGCACAAGCATTCTTTAAGCAAAAAAACAATTTACTGCACACGCATGCGTTGTGGTACTCTCGTGAATGGCGGCAGACTGACCCAGAAGAGAAGAAATCGTTAAATAAAGTCATTATTTTTGTTTTCTTTGTACACAAAAGGTATTCTCGTAGTAAGTTTCATAAAATTACGATGCCCTTACTCCTTGGCATCCACAGAAAGCTCTTTAAAGCTCATTAAAAATATCTTCACTTGTGTTCCGAAGATGAACGAAGGTCTTACGGGTTTGGAACAACATGAGGGTGAGTAATTAATGACAGAATTTTCATTTTTGGGTGAACTAACCATTTAATGTGACGAGCTACACCTGAGGTTACTCTGCTTAGACACCTGTTTGAACTTGAGGAGAACTGATTCATCCATCCATCATATATCGACCTTGGGTCCAGATTGAGCCAGAAAAGTAACTGCAAAAATGTCTCAAAAAAGTTAGTTCTAGAAATAGTTCAACCAGACATTGTTTGTGGCTTAAGTGTCTTAAGTGTCTTAATACTTCTTAGCCAACTGTTAACAGACAACTATTTCATATTTCATAACACACACAGACACCATCTATGTCTCTCTGATATCCTGAATATTACAGTTTACAGAGGATTTATCTTTATTAAATGGCCCATAAGCAATTTCGTCAAGTATGCACATCATATCTTTGGGTAATCAGGGGAAAACAAGGAAATTCATAGTCAAACAAGAGTCACTAATAACTTCTCCGTTTTAAAAGTGCAAATGACCGCATATGTAGATCTCCCAAATAAATATTCCAGGATTCCACAACCCCATTTGTAAAGACTATTATGGTTCAAATGGCTGAATATGCAGTGAGTATGATAATGCTACTGTGAAACAGGTAAACATCTGAAGCACACTTCCTGCATTTCATCACTAGAAAGGCACCCACACCTAAAGCAATTACTCAACTGTAATGTTTTGTTTGATAGCCTAAAAAGTGCTTCAGGGTTTCACTCAAGGCAGATACCTTATTGCAAATACTAAATCAAACAGAAGATGTTTATTCAAACTAATAAAAGTCATTTTTAACAGTCGGATTTGGTGGAAATAACCGCCCATCCTCATGTTTTACAGTGCAGATCTGTCATGTTGATGAGAAAGCAATGCTACTAAGCACATGGACTTAATATATCTTACACACATGCACACACACCTACACTACAACAAGTGTGTCTGACTCACTCAATCTGTTGGAAATTTCACATTTTCACATTTCCTCAATAAAGATCATGGACTGAGGGGAAAACATACAACTCTTCCTTGTCTAGTAAAGACAAAAATTCGACATTTTACAGGTGTAGGCTAGCTATTCAAATTATAGATTAGAGCTTTTAAATAGACTAAAATATATTATTATCGTTATTATTTATTATTCTGCTACTTCTTATAAGAAATAATCAACTGAAATTAACTGAAAGGTCTATATGACTGCACTATGAACTTATTTTAACCTTACAAGATTCCTGTCATTTTGATCCTGTGTGTAATCAATATATTATTATGCAAGTATCTGGGAAGAATAGATGCCTTGATTGTGGGCAAAACCATACAGCTCGTTCCTTATCAGAAAAGATGATCTGTGACAGATTCACACTACAAGAGCTGTTAGCAGTTATTTCATAGTTTCCTGCCTCCTAAACTTCTCTGTTCCAAACAGAGAGATTCATTACACTATAATAACAAAACTCAGGGTCAATTGTCAAGTCATTAAGACAGAACTCTTCCTGAAAGGTTTCTTGAAACCCTTGAGGGAAAAATCCAGTTTTCTGTTGAAGAAGGCGTGGCGCTTAACAGATGAAAATTGTAAACAAAACTCTCTAGTTGGGAACAATGGTAACACTTTAGTATAGGGACCAATTCTTATTATTAACTAGTTCCTTATTAGCATGCTATTATTAACATCTTGGCTGTTTATCAGTACTTCTAAAGCACATATTCTGCATGACCATATTCTACATCCCTAATCCTACTTTTTTATTGAGGCAAAAGTCATAGTTAATGGTTTGTTAATGGCACAAATTGGACCTTAAAATAAAGTGTGACAGGAACAATTCAAATGTGGGGAAACGTTTACAGTAAATTGCATAAATTACTACCACATAATAATATAATAATAATAATATATATTATTAATATATAATAGCAATTATTTTTGCAAATGCAGTAAGCAAGAGAACAGACCGGAATACATTAAGGCAATGTGAAACTACTGTATAATAAGTTTGATTCTTACGCATTCTTTAATGTTATGCTTTTATATTTCATTGTCAAAAAAAACAACAGGTTTTCTATGCGACAACTTATCGCCACAGACCCAAAAGGTTAACGTAAAATAAACTGCAACTTTTTACTTGGAAATACAGGTGGAAACTTTTTTTTTTCAGTTGGCAAGACTATATGCATGGTCTCTTTTAATGTGTTTCTGCAGAAACCGACTTCTTTTTGTTGTTTAATGTTTAATCTAACACAAAGTGTGACAATTTACCACAGTCTCCTCTACTAATAAACTGGCACAGTATAGGTTCACACACACTAAAAGTTTTATTTTGTTACAGTATTTGAGTGATAATACTCCTTTGTTCAAAGTGCCATTGAGACTTCATTGCAATGCTATTGCAATAAATGTGCAGATTATTTGAGAATCAGGTAACTTTTAGCAGCATGCACAGCATTTAAGCAAATAATTAGATTCTTTTTTAACACTGCAACTTTTCTATTGTGCTTTAAAGAATAGTTTGAGACCGCAATGAGACTGTTAAATTTTTTTAGCAAACATTTTGCAATACTGCATAAACTGTT